GAACCCAGGGCCTCATGCATGCAAAGCAAGCTCTCTACCACTGAGCCACCTTCTCAGCCCCAAGTTAACTACCTTTCTACCTGTTTTCTTCTTCATTTAAATTTGAGGGAAAATTCCTTTGTGTGTGGTTATTAATACTATAGGTTTTAAATAGGTGTATTGTGTAATTGTTTTTAAAACATATTTTGGTCTTTGATTGGGTTAGTGTAATCCCTGGAAGTTTTTGTCTTCATGCTATTCTTTGGGGACTTTAAATCTTCCAGGGAAGTTTGGCCCGGAACCAAGAAGAGTCTCAACAGTAACAAGATAAGCAGTTGTCAGTCAAATGTTGGCAAGGACACTAGCTGAGGAGTTTATAGATGCTTTTATATTACTTTATATTCTCCATGGAAAGACTTTCAATAGCTCTTTAAAGTGTTTTGTTTCTGTGTGAGAACTATCCTAAATTAAAACATTTCAGTTGAAAAGACTGATCGAAGCCCTTCCTTTGAGCTCTCCACTTGTATTCTATATACATTATGGAAGTAAAATTACTTCCTGCTCTTAAGAACTCCCTTGAACAGATAATTTCAGTATTACTTCTGAGAAGCATGTGTATCTTTCAAACACAGAGGAAAGTTATGCAGACTAACTTAGCTTCAGTGACTACTTCTTGGAAGTGACTTTGAGCTCAAAAGATGTTATAGTCAAGAAAAAAGCATCAAAGAGCACATTGCACGTAGGAGATAACATCAGAAAAAACACACACGTATGAAATCAGATGTGAGCAGTTAATTCCTAGGCATTTAGCATTACTAGAGCATAATGACTTGACAGTGGACAGGCAGGCAGATAGAGACCTTGCTTGGAAGGACTTTTGTGCTCTGACAGTTACGGTATTTGGGTTGTTTTTTAGGCAGTGGAAAATTATTGAAGAAGATTCATCAAGAAATCAATGTGTTTAGATTTACAAAAATCAGAGAATGTATTTGATAGGCAGATGGGTCTGAAAATAAAAATATGCCATTTATATTATATCTTAGAACTACTTCCGATTTTATTTATTTATTTTTTGGGGGGGTCCAGTCATGGGGCCTGAACTCTGGGCCTAGGCACTGTCCCTCAGCTCTTCAGCTCAAGGCTAGCGCTCTACCTCTTGAGCCACAGTGCCACTTCTGGCTTTTTTTCTTTTTGCTTATGTGGTGCTGAGGAATCGAACCCAGGGCCTCATGCATGCAAGGCAAGCGCTCTAACACTGAGCCACCTTCCCAGCCCCTACTTCCAATTTTAAAAGGCCTAAGTAATGAAATACTTTGAAGTATAAGATAAACTTTTTAAAAATATAATTTTATTGTTATTATTAAGTAGTTGTGTAGTGGGATTACCATTTCATAAGTTAGGTAATAAGTACTTTTCCTTTTTGGGCAATATCATCCCTTCCTTTGCTTTCTTCCAGTTTCTCCCTCCCATCACTGCCCACAAGTTACATAGTTCACTCTCCACATAATTTATACTGAATAGCATGATTGCATTTGTTCCCTTTCTGTGCCTTCTTTTGCCCCCAAAAAGAAAAACATCATCACCACAAACAACAAAAACCAAAACCCCGATTTCTATTTCCTGGAATTCATTTTAATAAACAGTATCTTAAATGTTCAGAGGAGTTACACCTTTGAGGTCCTCCCCTAAGATTATCTTCCTTGAGTCTGACTGTTTGTGAATGCCTAGTACTGTGTAAGTTATCATGTCTAGATATATTAGATCTAGCATCCACATATGAAAGAAAATATGTGTCATTTGTCTCTGAGCTTGGCTTACTTACTTAACATAATTTGTTCTAGGCCCAACCATTTCCCTGCAAATGAAATAGTCTTATTCTTTCTAATGGATGAGTAAAATTTCATTGTATATCTGTACCACATAAAAATGAAAAATTTCAAATGATGATAAAAACTTTTTATAACTTTTTCAGAGGTAGAACAAATGAACATAGATATGACATAGTTTATAATAATAGGATATAGAATCCACCAAATGTACATTCTGACAAAGAAAATTGTTCTTGCATTTGTTATGGTGACCAGCACTATAATTCAACATGGGATTGTATTTAATTGATATTTATATTCTCCAGCTGTTCACTGAAAGACCTGACATGGGTCTTTTTCCTCTATGATTTGGCTTTAGGGTTCTATAAGCTTTTCCATTATTGCTTCTCCCATGAGTAAGCTGGGAGATAAATATACTGTAAAACTGTCCATGAACAGCATCAATGCAGTTTAAATTTTTTTCTTACTAATCTTGACATTGATCAGAGAAGAATTTTTCAGAAATTATTTAATGATTTTATTTATTTGAAAGTACAGGAAAGAATGGGTGGAAAATCAGTATAGTTAGGTTCCCACTGTTAACTCTGGTGAGGAAAGAAAGTGTGCAGTGGTGTTTGTGTTGCTGTTGTAATTTATTTACCGTATTTAAGAATTGTAGGAAATAAGCTTACTTATTCAGCGTTGATGCTGTGGAGTAGAATGTGTGTTTGAATTCTCCAATTACCACATGTAGGACTATGGCCTTGGTATTTCATTTATACAATGGAGATAGTAATGGTATTTCCATAAAGGAGTATTCACTGGAGTTAAGTAATATGACAGTGTAAAACAAAACTATTAGGATAGTATTGATACACAGTATGTCTTCAAATATTAGTCTTACTATTATCAATGTTATCAGTATTATTACTACTGTGTTTGTTGATACAAATTAGGCACACAGAATTTATTGAGGACCAAGATGTGAAAGTTATTGACAGATTGATTTTTTCCTTTTTTTTGTCAGTTGTGGGGCCTGAACTCTGGGCCTAGGCACTGTCCCTGAGCTCTTCAGTTCAAGGCTAATTCTGCCACTTGAGCCATAACGCCACTTCTGGCTTTTTCTGCTTATTGGTTCTGAGGAATTGAACCCAGGGCCTCATGCTTGCAAGGCAAGCACTCTACCACTGAGCCACCTTTCCAGCCCCAGAGTAATTTTAATATAGTGAGTAGAAGAGCCTGTCTCTTCACAGCCTCAGTGTCACCCTTTCCTCAAATGTCTAACTGTAGTAATAATACAATTAATTCTTAGTTGCCTTGTATTTCACACTATTTACTACTTCTCTTTCTAAGAGATTAATGGGGTGTTTTTTGTTTATTTTTTAAAAATCCATTTTGGGTGTCTAACATTGTACCAAGTAAGAGTAACCAAGCAAGTGTTGAGTCCTAAGCATACCCCCTAAATGCTATTCATGGATTAACTCTTAATTCTTTCAGCCACCCACACAAGCTAGACAATC